TTCTTTGATTGTTATTTCTTGTACAAGTGAACAACTTTCAGAATATAAGAACTGATCTCTTTGATGAAGTCAGAGAGAAACAAGAAGAACGACAATTGATTCTCAACACTGAAAAGTTCAATGAAGAACTACAGAAGCAAGATCTGAAATTGTATCGAGCCAGGTAAACTTACTATATCAGACGACTGTTCTCTCCTACAACCTCTCGATTGTCTTAAATTTTGATATTTTCACTATAAATAATTTTGTAATTTCATCTGCATTTTGAGTTTATTCAATTGTTGATGTTTTCTTTTGAAACGTAGAAGACACAGTATGTTTATGTCATCAACTAGCACCGAAGATACTAAAAGTCAAACTGAAATCCAGTCAGAAGGCAAAAATGAAGTTTTACAGTAAGTACACATAGCTACTTTTTCTTTCTAACCATACTAATTCGATTTAATTTACTCACATATATATTACATTACTTGTGTCCTATTGCATATTGCGTAATAACAAAGCAATGTTTCAAAGTATTTATGTATGACATACTATATCTGATTCCATCAGTGTGCCAATTTTATTATATATTAGTGAAATCTGGAGAACGCTCTTCAAATTGAAGTTCAGAATCAATTTTGTAAATTTCTATTCTGTGTAATGCTTAAGCAATTTATCAGCTGTTGGCGAATGTGGTCGATTTCCTCGCTTTGTTATTTACTTGCATTAGCATTAGCTACTGACTGAGATAACTAGAAATGGATGCCATTACATATCCTCATAAATGTTATATATGTTGAAAAATTATCCTATTCGTTGGTAAATTGGACATACATGTACAATATAATAATTTTGCTTTTTGGCTTTGGATTCGGCCATGTATGGCTGAACTAAGTTATGGGGTCAATTAAATTAAAGATTGTGCGAAACCAGACTGGCATGATGCTGCCACAAGGTCTGTTCTTATCACAATTTTGTGTCGTCCGTTGATCAGGAAAAATATTTAACTTGCATTCATGTTTTCAAAATTGGAGCTGTGTTATCAAGAAGTAATGAAAATGTCTTCCTTGATCACAGATTTTGTGAATACCGTGTTGAATGCAATCAATTTTATAATGATGATGAATATCATTTTGTGGCTATATATTAGAACAGAATTTCTGCCTGTGTGCTTTTGAACTACCCACACTTACAACAAATTGCCTTTTGCTTTTGTAATAAACAAAAAAACAATTAAACGAAAATGTACTTTATACACAGAAAGTCTACTCAGAACTGCAGTGATATAAATGAACTAGCACAGGCAGTAAGTCATCACCTTGTCAAAGCACAGGATAGTTCTATCAGTAAGTATTCCATGTTATATGTTATAGTATTAAATAAAATGTAGTATTTACACTTGGAAACTAACCTGTTTCCTTGCTTCAACTATAAATGTACATTGTTCGTACATTATAAATAAACATAATGGTAAATTCACTTTTGAATGAGGGTGTGTCAATGCACCATCCACAACAATTTCAATTAAGCGGGAAAAAATTGTTCTCTATAAAAGGAAATAAGAAGTGATGAGCCATCGAACAAGAGAAAATAAGATTATGTCACGTCTCGGGTCTGCTTCTCCTTGTAATTTTCATAGGTCATATGAAGACTGAAACTATTCTTGTCACTAATTAGTATGCAAATTTGATTTGAATAAATATTCCTCCATATTTCGGAGTAATGATCAATTCACTGTGGCATATACTTTAGGGCTTTGTTGGTTAAACGCATTTTGTAGACAACAATCATGTCTACATTGTAGTAAAACTGATAACAATTCAAGCACCGGTCACTGGTAGCTTGTGTTCGACTGAGCCTGATCGACACCAGGATAGCGCATTAAAATTGCCATATGATAGGGAGATGGCCACACAGCGAGATGGCCACACAGCCCTGTCATGTAGTCCCAAACATGAATATAAATTCTGTGGCAAAATGCACTAAAAAAAAAAAAGTCAGGACATTCAATGTCCAGAACTGTCGCCTACACAAAAACAAACAAAACAAAAAAACAATTCAAGCAATGTTATAAAAGTATAAAAGAATAAAATGAAGTTGAAAACTAACTACATGTACAAAGTATGAGATTTAAAGACATTGGTTGTCATCCAGCAAATATTCAAATTGTGAGTAAAACAAACAATGTATTTGACACGCATGGTATACGCCACCATACAGAGTAGAATGCTACGTAATGGCCACCACCCTTTGATTGTATAATTAAGACAAACATTACTCGCATTACCTTATATCTGTGTTTAAGAAACCTACAGTTTATTCATTTTGCCATAATTTGCACTTCAGGGCACTAGCCTAGTTTTTAGTGGATAGTTGCCATTTTGGTAGTATTATAACGCTTTTACCATAGGTTTCTGTGGCAGAGATATTATGCCATATTTCAAATTATAGGCTAGTGACATTGTTCAATTTTTAGCTTCACTAATTGTTGGAGCTTATCATATGAGTGATTGTCCGTCGTCGTCGTCCATCGTTCGTGTCAATGTTTTACTTTTTGACTTTTTTTGAAAACTACAAGCCTGAATGCTTTGATACTTGGTGTATATGTACCTTGGGTAGACCTCTCTTAGATTTGTTCATTTTATGATCATATCTTCAATTCTCTAATTTTGATAAATATTTTTGTCATTTTTGGTAAAAAGTGATATTTTCGACTTCTTGTTAAAAACCGCAAGTCCGATTGCTTTGATATTACATATATAGGTACTACATGTGAACCTCTCTCAGATTTGTTCGTTTTGTAATGATATCTTTAATTCTCTAATTTTGGTGGATATTTTTGTCATTTTTGGTAAAAAGTGATATTTTCGACTTCTTGTTAAAAACCACAAGTCCAATTGCTTTGATATTACATATATAGGTACTACATGTGGACCACTGTCAAATTGTTCATTTTGTAATAATATCTTCAATTCTCTAATTTTGGTGAATATTTTTGTCATTTTCGGTAAAAAGTGATATTTTCGACTTCTTGTTAAAAACCGCAAGTCCGATTGCTTTGATATTACATGTATAGGTACTACATGTGGACCTCTTTCAGATTTGTTTTATTTTGTAATGATATCTTTAATTCTTTAATGTTGGTGAATATTTTTGTCATTTTTGGTAAAAAGTGATAATTTCGACTTCTTGTTAAAAACCGCAAGTTCAATTGCTTTTATATTACATATATAGGTACTACATGTAGACCTCTCTTAGATTTGTTCATTTTGTAATAATAACTTTAATTCTCTAATGTTGATGATTATTTTTGTCTTTTTAAAGTGATATTTTTGAATTCTTGTTGAAAACAACAAGTTCCATTGCATTGATACTTACATATTGTTCATTTTCTAATGATATCTTCTGTTCTTTAATTGCAATGTGCATTGCTAACAGCGGAGCTATCTCAGCCGAGAGGCTGCTTGTTTAAAAATACAAGGACAAGTTCCTCAAAATATGTCACACAAAAAAATCATAGCAATAGCTCACTGATGTTGCATAATGAACATTGCCATGTGATTCCAGACCAACTTTTACAAAAATTATGTGTAGGCTTCTACCTCAATTTTATTTAAATCACAGACTGGGAAAAGACTGTACATGACAACTTGGAACTTCTCGCCCGCACACCCACAGAGACATTATGGCCCAGAGATACGTTATTCCGATATTTCCAGCTGATGGAAGCCATGCAGGAAAATCTGCAGGAAAGACAGGATCTAATGGACCTTATGTGTAAGTAGAATTACGTCATCAAACTTGGTTCTGTGTACAATATATGGTCATGAGGTACAGTACCACAATGTTAGGTGTTTAGCATGTGTGCATACAGCATACTGATATGATTGTCCTCTATTTTTCCTACAGATCATGCAGTGTTGGAAGTGTTTGATTCTTAATAATTGATTACCCCATGGTTGCAAGTGGTAACACTTGTTGTACATGTTGAAAGAGGTGGGGGGCAAGGGTTATTTTTGTTCAACGTAATTGCAATATTTTTTTGTTCGTACTACGTAAATTGAAAAAATAAATTCCGTAATTCTGTAATCACAGGCTAGACGTACAACGTAATCGATCAAATATTGTTTTCGTACACTGTAAAAATGTGTCATTTTTCTCGGTACGTACAAGAATTTACATCCAAATCAAAAAATCGTAAAGAATAATCCAGGGAAATTACATTATAGAAACTGTAAAACGACTAGATGACACAATTCACTACAAAATTGAATGTCAAGACGTAAAAGGCCCTCTAACCGAATGAAGAGCATTACGAGGGTAATATGCACGTGCATCTCTACACACGGCGCAGCAATGGCGGAGAATTTGAGCCGGAGAGCTCTTCGGACCATTCAATGTTCCTTTTTTTAACACTGTAAACACGTCTTTTTTTCCTTGTAAATTGTAAAAAGCCCTTTTTATTTCCCGTGAAACCGTACCAGCTACCCCCCTTGCCTCCCCTCTTGGAATCATTCAGATCAACGAGTCTTAGTACTGGACCTGAAATATTAATATTTCTTCAAGAACTGCTTGAACTGAACTCTAGACTTCACATTTGAATCCAATATGTCACAGTATCCTGGATTTGTAGCTACAAGATTTAACTATTATTGCTCAGGAGTGAATACATTATTTTTATTTGAATAAGAAAAATCAATTAAATTAATATTGCTGTCAAAATTAGGTTTACTCTTGATTATTATGGTATGACATTCTTGTATTTGTCATGAGATGTTTATACTTCTATAAATGACACAAGGCACAAGGTTTTGATAAAAGAGGACGGGGAAAGTGTTGTGAATAAAGGGAAAGCGAACAACCTCACCATCTACCAGCTGTGACTGAACAGGCAGACGTTGAGGTTGGCAATTTCTTGCTGGGAACCTGCAGATAAACTTGCAACCACAGTGGGATGGACAGCATAGATACCTGTGTGAAGAATGTATGGTCTGTAGTACATATATGCTTTAGTTAACACTGCATGTGTAATCACTGAGTATACAATGCTTTTGTTACATGCTCTTCTGTTGCTTTTAATTGAGTAAATATGGTAAATGTATTTCACATATTCATTTATGGAATAACCACGGCTTTGGGACACCAGGGTACACATTATACACTCATTGTCAAAAATGGAATTGTGCTAACTTGCAGTTGCAACTCTGAGGCTGTACTTCAGTCAACCAGAATGTCAGCAACCGTGTTGAATATACTGAATGGTAATTCATACTCATTACAATGCCAGATGGAAGAAACAAGAATGGAAGTCCATGTTTTTTTTATTTCCAAGAAATCCTCACATCAATCAATGATGTATTCATTTTACAGTATATGAGCCATCAAGGCACTGATTTTTATAATGTACAATTCGTCTCTAGCTTAGGGATGTTCTCAAATTATCATGTAGGCCTTCACAAGTAGTACTTACATTAGGATTGTTTAGGTTATTAAAATAAAAGTAGTGTAATATGACAACCCGTGCAACAAGATATATAGATTACTGGTAGTACAGTATTTTTTGTGTGTTTCTATTACAAGTGCCCTAAATGAGGTGTGGATTCTGAAAGCTAATTTGATTTAACTATTGCTACAATTTGAACAATAGAACAAAGTCCAAATGATGATGTTTGCTTAAATTGATATGATTATAACAAGGGTATTCTGTGATCTACAGGGCACAGGTGTCAATTTGTAATTGTTTTTAACAAGACATTGCAAGGAAATAATTTGAGAACATTCCTAAGCTACAACTTGTTTGACAAGCTTTTATATCACGTGACAGATTCACCTAAAACTCCATATTATAGTACAAACAACACTGACTTGCCTTTATTATACAAAACAAAAAAAACAAAAACATGGCAAACTAGGCAAGTAATAAATTATATTTGTGTAAGTAAATGTACAAATTTACATGGAGGGATTGAAAACATTAAGCTTTAAAAAACTTGAGGTTCATTATTCAAACAAGTTTTTCAAAATATTGTTATTTTGAGAACGGAATTGCCCCACAGGGGCCATACATAGCTCAAAACATGAAATTTCAAATTGGGCAACATTTTCAATTAATTGTTTTGTTATCATTAAAGTAGCAGTGGTTGTCATTTGATACACATCCCATACAGTGTGTAGCCATAAGGGAGGGCAAGACCAGAGGTGAGACAACCACCACCCCTCATGATTTTATGAATTTGGATGGTCAACTTCCACCAAACAACATACTGAATACACTTGCACAACAGTTTTAGAGAAGTCACCAACATGTAGATAATGAATGAGCACTGCAATAGTGACTGAACAATTTATTCACCAAATTTTTGTTCACAAATTCTTAAATCTGGACGGATCAGCCAAAACATCTAAATACAGATTGACTGTGTTGATAACTAATCAACTGCTCTATTGCACTCTGCAACTTTACCATATATACTGATATATATATATATATATATATAGTAACATGGGCATGACAACTTACTGTAATACATTATATTGACATACCGATAGGAATAAATCATACACAATTATTTAATAAATGGGCAACATATTCTCCCTTGTACCTTAAATAGTAGTGCATGTGAGCTGATGAAAATGTTTATTTTCCTTGCCTTGAATGTTGTATAATAGGTGTACTTCTGTCAACAAATATTCTTTAAGGATTTCACAGTGGAATGTCCAATCACACCTTTCATACAACAACAGAATTCTAGTCAAAATAAAACCAATCAGCACACATGTAGTTTTTTTTTTTTAAAGGCAAACGTCTACTCATAAATGAAAATTCCCTAAATTTATTAGTTTTGCAATAAATTGTACCCCAGTATTGAACAAGTACTTATTGTATGCAATAAAAGATATTGGATCATCAGTTTAATTTTTGAAAAAATTATGGTTGTATTTTAATGGATAGTTACCATTTTTAACAAATTGGTAGTATTAAAACCTTTTACTATAGGTTTCTATGGCAGAGATATTATGCCATATCTTAAAATGTAGGCTGGTTACTTCATTTACATTGTTAAACCAAAAACAAAACAAAAACACCCACAATATTTGTTCTTTTCTTAAATAGTCTGTGTTATTACAAAAATCTGGGTTTTAAAAAGTTAAAAAAATGCAAGTTTTCTTCAACATAGTTCAATGATTGTACATACCGGTAAAGCCAATGAACATTGTCAAGAGAGTTATGACCAAATTTCTAAAAAAATTATGAGTAGGCTTCTACTTTAACAGTACACTTTTAATAAATAGAATCAAGTTTATGTATATTACCTGCTTCTCTTTTTAGATGCACATTGTCATGCAATCTGTAACTTACATTGCCACAAGAATTTTGCATAGGTAAGATTGATTTCTTCTAAAGGGGCTGTAATGGCACAATATGGTTACCCTCATTCAAATAGATATATTTACACCAAGAAATACATATAGTAAATACAATTGTGGTTTGCAGTGACAAGACAATGAAAAGAATTCAAACATTATTTTCAAAATTGCAATAAACCAATATTAGTTCATACATCGTAGCATTGGGCAATATATAAGAATTCATTTTGTATTGATTTAAATTCATATTTCGTGGGGAAACCTTACAAAAACAAGTAATCCATAGTACAAAACTATGCACATAATGTCAAACCTATTCCAAAACATAGTTGAACTCTGGTGACCTTGCCCTTTGTTATATAATATAATTACCTTTAACATAGTTTGTTTCAATATAAATATACATTGTCATAATTAATTTTGAATACAAAAAAAGTTTTGGGGTTGAACTAACAGTGGGGAATCAGTCTACCGAATGTCCTTTAAAGATGTAAATATCTTACAAAAACATTTGTGCCTTATTTGTTTAATTATTTTAAGGGACATAATTTCCCAGCTTTATTCAAAGTAATTCAGATATTTTAGAATAAAAAACAAATGCCTCATTGCAAGAAAAA